AAGTCTAATGCACAGCGAGACAAACTTCTTGCTTGCATTCACTAATCTCTTCGCTCGCGCCACCGTCCCCAAACTTGTCTCCTTCGAAAGAGATGCCGAACGAAATATGAACTTTACACCATCCTTAGTGAAGATGTACTTCTGAGCCCGTCTCTCGTAGATCACATATCTATCCTATAAGTACGGATTACCCAGTATAATCTGACAAACATCCAATGGAACGACGTCGCACGTGACCTCGTCAATATACGACTCGTGGAGCGCAAATCTGACAGTGCATTGATCAACTACACTCATTTTCTCCTCCTTCTGACTTTACCCCAATTGATAGGGCTTCGGATGCTTGACCGACTTCAGAACCAGCTTCTGCACCAATGCCTCAGATATCAAATTCTTTTCGCTGCCCGAATCGACAATGACATCAACCAAACTGGTCTTCATTTGGAACTTAAGAACAAAGAGTTGCTCTCTCGGGTCGTCGTCCTCTTTCGTGGTCTGCTTTCCCGTCATAAGGTTGAGACTGTTGTTGGGCTTTGCCATCCTCGGGACTTCTTTCGGACCTTAAGCTATCATGTATGCCTTTTTCTCCTCCTTCTTCTTCAACCCTCTTAGCTTGAGATGAGGATACTTCTCCCAGCACCGATCAGCTTCATGTCCTGTCTTCTCGCAGTGACTACAAATCAGCCCTGCCTTCCCTGGATCACCCTTCGTCTTCTCCTCCTTAGATTGAAAACCACTAGACTCGCCTCCCGTCTGTTTGGAGTCTTCCTTAGCCTTGTTGTCCTTCTTTTGCTTGCCCTTGAGGGCAATAGCCTTCACGCTCGCCTCTGTAATTGATTCCACCGTGAATAGCTTCATCTTCTTTCGGATGTAATCGCTCAATCCCGCCATATACTTCATAAACACGGGATATTCCTCTGTCGTAATGTTGAGGACCATCGCCTGTTGTTGGAACTCCGTGGTGTATTCTTGAACGGTTTGATTGACCCTTTGGCGCAAGCCGTACCACTTGTACCAACGCTCTTCAAGGAATCTCATCGGGTAGAACTACTTCTTCAGTAACTCCTTGAACTTGTTCCACGACACCGCCTTCTTCTCCTGCTTGCAGTAGGATTTCCACCACGCAAACGCGTGCCCTGAAAGCTTCAAAATCGTGAACACAATCTTCTCTTTCGACGAATAGCCATAAAGAGTAAAATACGTCTCCATCAGCTCGATCCAGTCATCAAGCCTTTCGACGTCAACACTCTCATCATAAACAGGAATCTCCACCTTGAAGTCAATCTTCAGGTTCTGATAAGAATTCTTACCCCCTTGATGCAATGCAGTCTTAACGGTCTCCTCCTCCTCGTGGAAATCTGAATCTACTCTCTCCACATCGGACTCAATAATTTTCTTCGAAGAAGATTCACCTTGTTTGCCACCTCCATGGATAAGACTGACGAGTTGTGTGAGAGTCGAACCTATCGTCTCGTTCTGCTTCTCCAATGCATCAATCCTCGCTGAATTGTCTCCTTCAGCCATCTTCTTCTTCCTTAAAACATGGACTTCTTCCAATGAAATAAGGATCTCGCCAAGCTTCTTATATTGGGATCGAGTAAGGACCATACACAGGATGCCCCTTTACCGGATCTGATGCTCTGATACCAACTTGATATGAGTTGCCCAGTGTTGTAAAAAGCGGCAGATAGCGGGGCTATAGCGGCGCCTTTCGCGATCGCGGCCCCTCAGCGCTACGCGGAGGGGTGTCGCGGTCGAATTAAGCGGGGGAAAACGCTTTGTGTTCGTAAAGCGCGTAAAAGCGCTCAAAAGCGGGAAAAAAGCGGGAAAAAGCAAAAAAATCCGCTAAACCCGCTAACCCGCTAAACCCGCTAAACTCGTTTTCTGATTTTTTCCGCGCTGAACCCGACCCGAACCTAAACCCGATTTGTTAAAAGCAGATAAAACACGATTTTTTCTCTCCCACTCCCGAACCCTAGCCGCCTGTGGATCTTCTCCATTCCAGCGACGATTTTTTCTCCCACGACGACTTTGTCTTCCTCAGAGCTCCACAGCAACGCAACTCTAATTCCTTAGAGCTCCTTCACCCGTTCCAGCGTTCCAGCGACTTCCGCTCTCCGAGTCCAGCCAGCGTTTCCAGCGACTTCCGAAATCCGAGTCCAGCCAGCGACGAGACGACTTCCGAACTCCGAGTCTCCAACAAGTTTCCCTCAAGTCTCCAACAGCTCAAGCTCCCAGCGTCATCTCCATCTCTGTTATCTATCATGACCTTATCTTGCTTTGCTCATTTAGTCATTTAGTCATTTAGTCATTAATCTATACTTGAATATTTTATTTTTTAGGTCAACTTTCTAGTAGTTAATATAGTGATGATATTACTAACTTACTAATCATGCTTTTTTTGTTGAGTATTTTCATATTAGAGATTTTTAGATTTTTTTATGAATTTTCTTATTATTTAGGATATTTAAATATATTTAAATTTGTCCGCTATTTGACTGTGCGCTATTTGCCGCTATTTCGCCGTAATTTCGCCGCAATAGCGCGCAATAGCCTTAGCGGTACCTCGCCGCGACGCGCCGCGATCCGCTATCAATAACCTTGGAGTTGCCGTGCGAGCACCTTTGATCGCGGAATTATCAAAGGTGGGTTGAGAAGAGGATGACAGAAACACAAGCACAATTCAGTATATGACGAAGGAAAATATCTTCTCTAGATTATGAGTATGAAAAGATTACAATCCCTCTCTCACAATCTCACTAGAATCGAGAACAAACTCTCAATTCTCACTAAACCCTAATACAATGATTAGAATCTCTCTCTGAATCTATCTGATTCCCTCTTGATTGTTTAGAAACCCTAAAACAATCCTTTATATAGATGTACAAACGTGGATGATAATTTGGTAAATAACCAGACCCAAAACCAACAGGAATTCGTGTGAGCAGAAACTCAAACGAACCAGGAAACCATCGATGAGTCGACTCATGACTGAGATGAGTCGACTCGTCTGAAACTGGACAAAACACAAAAGCCAGCGATGAGTCGACTCATGACTCGACTCATGACAGTCATGAGTCGACTCAACCTGATGAGTCGACTCATGACTGTTATGAGTCGACTCACGGGCTGAAAACTGGATACTTCGATTCTTCTGCTCGTCGTCTCGTTTCACGCTTCCACCTGCGTTCCCTTGCACTGTTTGACACATCTATTCTCATGCTATCATGAGAATCATCTACCCTCAAGCTCCCATAAGGATCGCTAAGTTCCGAAGAGAAGATACACCCGTATCACACAGACTGCTCTTAAGAAAACATTTTATGTTTACAAGCAATCACATCAGTAATATTACTAAGAAAAAGAACATTTTTAAAGGGTGAAGTACATAGCATAATGTTTAAACCTCCAAATAAAAGTTCCTTACTAATTTTTCAAAAGCAGAAAACTGTAGCTACAGTGGAAAACATACTCTAGCTTTCCTTCGTTGAATTATACTGGAACAGGAAGAAGACAACATCCTAAGAATTGATCAACCTCAAATATTTCTATTATTTATTAGTAAATAAAATAACCATCCAATTGAAGAAAATTCCTCCATGATTTTAAAGCAATGCATGATTTCTAAAAATACTAAGAAGAGAAGATCTAAAAAGAACGTGAAAATAACTAATCTTAAAGATGGCTACTCATTTCAGATGATTTGGGAAAAAAAATCCTGTTTTTAAACCAACCCAAATTTTTAAAGGAACAAAAACCCTGAAAAAGAAATCTCAGTGTAGTATTTTCAGCTTTTAGAATTCAGAGTCAAAATAGGGGGCTATCCATATTTTTTTCCTTCTTTTTATAATTTGTTACATAACAATAAAAATTCCACTCGTTGGTAAAAAAATTCAGATTGTAGGTTGTCTAATAATCATCACATTAAAAATCAAGGGTAGAACAGTGGAGGACAACAACTATCTATGCACACTTTAACGGCAACATTAGGCAAGTAAATAAACAATAGCAAGAACAACAACAACAAAGTCTTCATCCCTGGGGTTGGCTACATGAATCCTATTCTTCCATTCCGCTCTAGTAATGATATAAAATTGCAAAATCCTAGAAAATAGTGTGAATGAACTTGTGAAATTATCATCCCAACAGTATTGATTTAAAAATAGAACACCAAAATAGAGAGTTGCAAGATGTCTCTGGTCTAAAAGAAACTTAATTTATAATGGTCATCGGACATTTAATGATGGCATAATACTACGATGCAAAATTTTGACCTTTATAGAACCAGGACTGCACAATACCAAAAACCAATTAAAACAAACAAAATCCTACGAGATGTCGGAAGAACTCCCATAATCACTAAGTCCAACAATAAATGTAGCATGTACTGCTCTTCAGAAAACATTTTCTGGTTACAATCAACCACAACGGTAGTACTAGTAAGAAAAAAGGAACATTTTTAAAGGGTGAACTACAACAACATAATGTTTATTTTTACATGGCATAACTACAATGAAGAACACACTCTCAACTTTTCTTCGTCAAATTATACTATAACAGAAGAAGACAACATCCTAAGAATTGATCAACCTCAAAAATTTACATTATTTTTTAATAAATAAAATAACTCCCCAGTTGAAGAAAATAACTCCATGATTTCTTCCAAAAATAATGCATGATTTATAAAAACAGTAAGAATAGAAGATCTAAAGAGAATGTGAAAATAACTAACCTTAGAATCTCTACTAATTTCAGATGATTTAAAAATCCTCTTTTTAAACCAACCCAGATTTTTTACAGGGGGGGCAACCCCTAAAAAAAAAAAGAACTCTCGCAGTGATTTCAACTGGATTGTAGCTGTAACTTCTTTCTCTTCTTACCGTTTACTTAGATTCTCAATCAGATTATTTTTTATGTACACTATCAGAAAACCAAGAAATCATTCCAAATAAAGAAAATAAAGTAAATAATGGCGAGAAAAAAGGGGGGTAAATTTGTACCTTTTGGGAGGTAGACATTACGCTTGAGGTAGTAGATGTAGAAGCACCAGAGGAAGCCGGAGATGAAATAGATGAGGGTCCCACCTATGTAGTTTCGGAGCCAGGTTCTGATGGGCCGGGGGAGGGGCTTCCAGGCCCAGCCCGGCAACAGGGCCGTCAGCACAATGTCGTTGTACCACTCCGTCTCCTCTACGAACTGGTTCAGGTAATCCGCCCTCTCCATTTGCGGTGATTTCGCCG